GCATAAATTGAATTAACTAAGATGCTATAGCATACAATAGTTGATAATATTTTACTACCTATTATAAAAATGCAGAATTAAATATACATGCAATAGAAAGGAAGTACGTACAATGAATCTGTATAGTGAACCAGGAAAGAATTATTTAAAAAGCACAGAAAAATACATATTTTGCTATGATGCAAATTAGTTACCAGATGACAAAAATCACTGAATTCAAGAATAAATATCAAGTGTTTATTTTAAAAATAAAGCAAATATCAACTCAAGATTAGTAGATATAAATGAATTGATATGAATCCTAATACTCCTGTCATTAATGCCAAAAAACATTTGAATGACACTTTTAAAACTAAAAATTGTTCATCAAGTAAACCAAACAAAAACTCTTAATCCTTATGCCAGAAACATTAGTCCATTAGTCCAAAATATATTCTAAATATAGACATCGGAGCAACTAAGTTAATAGCATGCGTGAGAGAAAAGTGTTAACCAGTTGAATTCAGCAAACAATTGTAATGCAAATCAAGGTGATGGTTATCTCCCATATAAAGTCCTTCATGGCATAAGATCTAATTATTTGAGGAATCACCTACTGTATATCTCCTGTAGTATCTACATATCCCATACAGTCTCACAGAATTGTCATGCTTTGAACTCCTTTAATTGCTCCAACTCTCCCCACCCAAAGTTCCCACAGTTCACTGTAAGTCCAGGAGCAATGCTCCAAATACACAGAGAGAGAGAGAGAGGGAGGGAGGGAGGGAGNACTCATCAACCCCAGGCCTGCCGGCACAGCCAGGTTTTGACGGCTTTCTGGAAGGCCTGGAGAGAGGTGAGGGTCCGAATCTCTGCGGGGAATTCATTCCAAAGGGCCGGAGCTGCTACAGAGATGCACTTGCTCATCTGGGACACAACCCCGAAGAGAAGCTGCCATGACAGAAAATGAATTTCTGTTTTCTGGTGCATGCATGTGCAGTGTCCAGTTAGTCTTCCGGTCACTGGCGTGCATGCTTGTGTGACAATCAGCTGGCTGGCACATATACTCATGCCAGAAAATGGTAGACCAGCTCTTCCAATTTCTAGCACTGTCCCGCGCACAAAGGCCAACTGATCATTGTGCGTGCATGCGTGCCAGAAACCCAGAAGAGGAACGGGTGATGCCGCATGTGCCAGGCAACATGGCTTTGCATGCCACTTGGGGCACACATGCCATAGGTTCGCCATCACAGTCCTATGATAATAGAATTGCTACTTTATACTTTAGACAATGGTTCTGAGCATATTCTTCACTTGAATTAAGTAGGCTTACTTTATTGGAACTACACGGTGTCCTGTTTTGACACTGTCTTCTTAGCCCTTTATAATTTCTGACCCCCACATCCTCTGCCAACCCAAAGCAACAATTCCAAACTGGCTTAAGAGTCATGCTGAATTCCATTTAGAGGATTGCCAGTCCTTGACCTAGAATACCGAAGACATTTTTCTTTCCATTTTTATGTCTATGCAGAGAAAGGAAGAAACAGGAAAGATACCTAGATGTATACTTTTTCAGTTTGTACTAAAAATAGGAACATCTATTATTCTAATAAATGAACAAGAATAGTAGTTTTGGGGGAAACATGTTACATAAACTTCTCCATGAAGATATAATAGAATCAGCTTATACTTTTAAGCTTCCATATGCCATCAGAGTACATGCTCAACTTGAATAAACGTTACGTCCCCATCCTCACAGAAGATTTCTATGGATTAAGCTGATTCATTCCTTTGCCTACCCCCTCCAAGCACTTTTTTCTGACATTTTATTAAAACATAACATTCTAAGGAATGACAGTTGACATCCTTTCCAAAGCTACTTCTAGCAAACCTCAGCATATGCTACTAAACAAGAGATGCCTTCTAATTTTAGGTTTTTAGTTAGAAACAAGTGGAAATGCTGTGAAAATGCTGTGAGACAATAACTGATGGATTCACCAATTGAATAATTATAGCCTATATTAAGAATGCATTATTCAGTCTCCTGATTTCCTTTGGAAGTCTCTTAAGATCATTTTGATCTCTTTGTATCATGTTGTTCTTAACCACCCACTGTATAAACTTCATATTATAGCTATTATTATTTACTAACCACCAGGCAGAATGAAGGCAAAGGCAACCTACTTTTGTACTGGTTTCAAGAAAATTATATGGATGCTCTGTATAATCATAACAAGATGAGTTTGTCCTGATGGCCTCAATTTTGTTTTTTTAAAAAGCAAGCACTTAAACAGATTTTACAGCTTTTAGTAATGTTCATAAAGTATGACGTTTAATATAACATAGTAAAATTATGATGAAAATAGCAGGTCCCAATGATTTTCTCATCTTACTCTGGTTTGTGTGCATATGTGTGTGTATGTATACATATTTGTGTTATGTGTATGTATATGTGTATATGTATGGTTGTATATCCTCTGTAGAGCTTTGAAAATACAGTACACACATTCTAAGCAGTAGTGATCCGTATTTTGCTCCTGAAAATGTTTAGAAAATTCTTTTCCAAGACAAATGACAGTTTCAAAGAAACAATTTTTGGCAGGACACTAGTAGGCTGCTTTTTCCTAAAAACAATGTTTTCATTCATACTTTTCCCTAATACACCTGTATTCAGTTCTATTGGACAGATGAAGAATGTGAAAAGTAGCAGTGGGGAGGAATACAATATAACCCAGCATATCAAAATCTTGTTGTTTAATTGTTTGATCTGGAAATAATGGTATTGAAAAATGATAGGCTTAGCTAGAATCTCTCTAATGAATTTGTTGTAACTTTTAGCTACAAAGCTTCCTGCAAATGAATTGGAAAAAAATGTAGGGATTTAAATGTGTACTATTGACTGTGTTCAGCCAAATAGGTCTTTAAGAATCTATTTACTGAAAAATAGAATCGGATTAACATTAGTTTTCAAGGAAGATACATGCTGGAATCTAAAGTAAAACAATACATTCATTCAACACAGTGTGGCCACTTTACTGTTCAAGCCAAACCTAGTTTCTGGTTACTTAATATCCCAACCAATGTACAGAGCCCCTGAAAATCAGTGACTTGGGACTTGGAGAAAAATCTATTGGTTGGATCAGATAATGGTTTATCAGATTTACTAATCTGAATTCTTCTCAAAAAAGAGCAGTGCAAAACTTTATTATGATTAATAACAGTAATAGTAATAAGTGCATAGTCTGAAATTAATAAATGTATAAGATTTAATTGAGGATTAGGTTGACTTTGGACAGAGAAATTACATTTTTACTATATTGGTTTCCTTCTGAGATGTAAAAACTGGGAAATTATCTTGCATATTTTCTTGATCTATCTGTAGCTTTTAACATCTTCAGCGGTAATATCCTTTTTTTGTAATAAGTTTTTATTTTATAATGTACAAAAATTTCAATTTCAATTAAACAGTGTGTTGTCTGGGTACAAATCATTTTATGAAATAATAATTGGAGTGTTTACAACAATATTCCTTGCATTAATATTACTTTTATTAATATTATTAACTGTAATAATCATACTGTTTGTTTAACCAAGTTAACGTATCTTCCTTGTATCATTGATCCTTTCATATATTTCCCGTTTCTAGCTTTTTGTCAGCTAGCCATTGATAAAATAATTCCCAAGTCAAAAAATATTCAGTTTCTTTCTTTTTCTTAATTATAAGTATTAACATAACCATTTCTGCAAATTCTAATACTTTTTGTAATCACATCTTCACCTATTGGGATCTCTTCACTTTTCCATTGTTGTGCAAATACTATTCTGCAGTCAATACATGTAAAATCAAATATACATTCCCTTTGTTATACTTGTCTGGTAAAATGCCCAACAAAAATGTCTCTGGTTTCCAATCTATATGTTTTTAAATTCTTTTTTCAAGCCATGTATGCATTTTTGTACGTTTTTTCGCTTTTTGACATGCCCACCACATATGATAGTATGAACCAGGTATCTGGTGACATTTCCAACATTTTGCAGATTTATCTGTAAACATCTTTGCTAAGGTTCTACATTTAGGTAAGAAAAACGAAATGCACAGGTACAGTATAGGTGGTACCTTGCTCAATAGTAGTAACTGTGAGAGGGATTTTGGAGTCCTAGTGGACAACCATTTNTGGGGGCAATATGCTGACTCTCTGTAAACCGCTTAGAGAGGGCTGAAAGCCCTATGAAGCGGTATATAAGTCTACTGCTATTGCTATTGCTATTGCTATAAGTCGAACCCAGGCAAAGCAAGGCTAAGCACAGTAAGACAACGTGGCAACAAGTCAACAACTGCAGGCGTGGCTGGAAAAAGGTAACTCTTGTTCAAACAAGTACGGCGTGCTCCCATGGTGTGTCTTTAAATCTTATTCCCCAAGTGAGCCTTGTATGAGGAGTGCTCTCTCCCATGAGCCGTTGGTTTGCCCTGTGCTGATCCTGCTACCTCTCCACCCTCTGTGCTCGAGGATCGGGCGGATGAGGAAATCGTTCCTCCATCACTCCTCTGCTCCACTATCTACTCTTTCCTCCTCCTCCTCCTCCTTCGCTTGGTCATCCTGTACCCTCTCTCCATCACCGGTCATCCCTCTAAGGCCCAAGGGACCCAGGAATGTCTCGTCCTGCTCCCCCAGTCACTTCTCTGGGGTCAGAGAGGCTGTGCTATCCTCCTCCTTGGACCCAGGCTTTATCAATTGAATAATGTGATCTGGTTGGAAGCTGTTATGGAGCCTGCCCTCTGAAACACCATTCCATTTAAGATTCATATTCCTGGGACAGGGGAGGAGCCCTGGGTGGTAGATTCCTTGTGGATATTTTGGTTGTTTAATTGACTATTGTTTTTCTCCAAACTTTCTTTTGGATTATAGTATTTATTCTGCATTACTATTAATTTTAATGGTTCTATCCTGTAGGTCACATGAGTGATATGGATTGTTACAGATAATGAAACAAACAAAAAATAGCATTTACAAAATACTTACAGCTTTCTATCTCTAATGTGCAGTTTTGTTCATCTAAGGGATATCTTCGTAGATCCATCATGCATGCAGCTGTTGTTGTAATTCTAGAAAAGACAGAGATGAAAACATTTTAAAAATTTGTTCAACCTGGTTAAACTCTAGATAAAAGACTGGAAATTTGATGCATCTATTCCATGTCACTCAAGGTTAGAGAACGATATGTATACTTTCAAGAAAGCCATGTATTAGTTTTGCTTAACTTTAGTTGAACATTAGTTTTGCACTTTATATTTCATATTAACTTCATATTTTGTTTACAGACAGACTAATAACAACGGGAAAACATGTAAAAAGTCCAAACCACAGAATTCAGCCTATCAGAGTCTATAGAAAACATAGTGATAAGATCGAATTGGTTTAACTGATTCCAGTGAACACATTCCTGAAGGTAATTTTGTACCAAGCCATAAACTATTACTACAGGGTATTCAGCTGTCTTCAGTTGCATTTCCGGTTTATTTACATCATTGTGTCTATTTGTTCATTTCATTTTCTACACCTCCTTAGTAAACTATTGGGATATGTGAGAGAAAGGAAAGGTGCTTTGGGGCAATCTCTATTTCCTTCACCATCTCATAGTTCTAGAGATTGACTAAAACACGTGGTGAATAGCTCACAAACCTCTCTCACACAAAGAGATGTTAATTTGTTAGGTTCCTGTGTTTCAGGTTGGCATAATGGAGTTAAGACAGAGTAATAATTGTTTAAGTAAATGTTTGCCAAGTTTGTAGAATCATTTCTCAATTCTAACAATGTCAGTGATTAATTTGTGCTATTTTGTATAGCATCTCTCAGGAGCATAATATCTCTACCCCCAATAATTGGAAAATACTGTATTTTCATTTATTTATAATAATTGTTTTAGTATTCCATCTCAGAGTATAGAAAATCAGTGAAAGCAAGTAATTATTCTGCAAAAACCAATATGTGGTTTTGGAATTCTTAGAGCAGTATTTTTCAAACTTGGAAACTTTAAGATGTGTAGACTTCAACTCCCAGAATTCTCCAGTGAGCATCCAATATGAAAACATCTTAATCAAATAACATAATATAGGCATTAGCAGGGCATTGTTTCTTTGCTTAACTTGTGCAGCTGGCCAGCAGTTTAATTTAAAAAGAACATTATTATGATTGTTTTTTTCTTCAAAAAGATTGCAGTTCATTTACCAAATCTCAGAAGATCCAAAAATATTGGAAACACAGTAAAATAATATCCCCTTAAGGTGAAGTTCAGTTATCTATGGTTTCATAGACATGTCTATGTAGTTATTTTAGCAGCAATAGGGAGATTTCACAATGCCTTCTTTAAGTTGAGTAGAATACCATAATGCCCTGGAGATTTCTACTAATGCCCTACAACTGTTCCATTCTTTCTCCCAGGCTCAAGTTTTCTTTAACAAGATTTATTAAGAGGGAAAAAGATCAGGTTACAGATATTAAATGATTTACTTTCATTTTTGAATCTAACTTATTTTTCAGCTCATTAGGACAGACATTCCTTCAATTTCTTTCTAACAATCCTTTATTGAACTGGTTGACTGGCTGGCTGCTTGTTTCCTAGACAACTGAGGGATGTGCAGGGATTTGTTAATATGTTCTTAACTGTCTCTGGAATTCTTATTGGGCAGTAAAAAACATACAGAATCATTAGATCCCTTAAGTATTCTCCAGAATCAAAAGTTTAAAATACTTTTTTATTTTTTTAATATAGCCACATATTCTAAAACTCCCATTCATTATTTTAAAATAGCTCATACATACATCAACCTCAAACTGCTAATCAGCAATCTTCCTACTGATCTATCAGTATATATGTTTGTGTGTGTGTGTGTGTGTGTGTGTGTGTGTTTGTGTGTGTAACATATATTTACACTTGACTGCACTTGACTCTGAAGACTTTTATTAGAATCATTATCAGGAATTATCAATGCATAAAGACTGAATAAAGTAATTTTTCTATGTAAAACAATTAAGAAAACTGCACTTGTAGCTCTTACCAGAATTCTGCTTCTTGAAAACAACTGTCTTTTAAATAGTTGGATGGATTGGCAGCAGTCCCAATTATAAAATATGGAAATTTGAGGACAAAATTGTCTTGTGATTATTTTCTCTTGTGCATAAGCTTTGAAGAAAAATGTTTTGGCTTTTTTTTAATTGTCTTTAATTTACTGAATGTTGGTAAAAAATAGGATAATTCTATCTCAAAGTCCCTTGTGAAAAATCTAAGAGATTTTTTTTCACCATTTGCAATAATCACATAAGTAGCATTTTATAAAATCCCAGAATTTTATTATTTCAATTTATATCATTTTGGGGTCATCTCACAGCAACTGCCTTTCATCTCATTCTCTGCCTTAGACAAAAAGACATCTTTTATGTGAGGCTTTTCACTTTTAATTAATTTTACAATTTATTTGTGATTTTTACCTTTTCATTTTGTGTTCTGCATTTTTAAAGGTTGTTAGTCTCCTATGGACTCTTTAAGGATACAACATCCACATTTGAAGTGAACAAATAAATCAAAATATTTAAAGCAACAAAGACAATTAACATTGTTTGTTGAAGTTACTTGAGTGATTGGACACACAGGCCTCTGAAATTATGCAAACGTTTTAAGGGGACATTTCTTGCTAAACAGTGACAGCCTAGGGTTTGGGGATTTTTAGGTTCTGCCAAAATAAAATAGATGTTTTCACATCGCCTTTTGTGGGAATGGCGTATTAATAATGTGTTAGCAAGCATATCTTTTACCTAGTTGTTAGCTAACCAGTCCATTCGTTTGTAGCTTATTCATTATTATTGTGAAACTTGTATCTAAAACTATTTTGTCACTTAAACCAGAGGAATCAAACATAATGTCACACAATAGGCTTCATGTTAAAACTATAATTTCATCCTCATCTCTCCATTTTAATTGTCCTTTACTTAACACTTGATAGCTATTCTCCAATTCCGGGACAGCAGGGAATCTAAAATCAAACATTTCTTCAATTATTAATGTGGTATGAAGGAAGTCTGATTTTAGCAGAATATATTTATGCCTGGCAAAACGCATAAGTACACAGATCTATTGCTGGATAATCAGTAAGAGTTGGCCTCACAGGTCTTGGACCATCTGGTTTAAGTGACAAAATATCTTATTGGCTCAGCTATACCTCATTGGACGTGATAAGCCAAGAGGTGAAGACAGAAGGAGGTTGCTGTATAACCTAGATAATACCCCTGGGCACATGTTCAGGTTATAGATCACATGGAATAAAACTAAACAAATGAATAAATTAAAGACCTTGTTCGAATTGATTATGTCAAGCTGTAGAATGCACTTAGAAAAGTGGGAATCCCAGAACATCTTTATTTCCTCATGGGGAAACTATATATAGATCAGGAAGCCACAGTATGCAAAGAACATGGTGAATCATAAGAGCTTCAAGCGAGACAAAGCTGTATGCTCTCCCCTCATTTATTCAATCTACATGCTGAATATGTAGTAAGGGAAGTTGAATTGGAAGATGAGTGTGGTTTTAAAACTGGAAGAATACATATCAGTAACTGCACCATCCTGATGATACTACTATAATAACCAAAATTGCAAAAGATTTGCAATAAAAGACAAAGAGCATAATAAAAACATGGGATTAAAATTAAATATAAAGAAAACCAAACTATTGATATCAAGCACAATACATAGCCAGCTTTAGAATTGAGAATAAAGATATCAAAGTGATAATAACTTCTGCCTTTTAGGATCAGCCATCGGTAATAAAGGAATACTGGTAAGTAGTCAACACATACGCCATTGATTAGCACTTGGTGGAACTGCAATTAAGGCCTTGAAAATATATTTAAATGCTATGATTTGTTTTTAACCTACAAAAATCAGAATCGTACAAGCATGTTGCCTGTGACATACTATGAAAGCACAGGTTGGATTTTGAAGAAGCAGGATAGGAAGAGTATTGCTGCTTTACAACTTTGGTGTTGGCAAAGACTCCTAATAGACAACCAAGAAAACAAAAATGTATTCATTCAAGAAATCAAGTCACCCAAAGGTACACATGACCAGGCTCAAATTATTCTACTTCAGTCGCATTATGTGAAGATCTAGCTCTCTAGTGAAGGCTGTAATCCTAGGAAAGGTGGAGAGAAAGAGTGGAAGAGGATGTCCAGCGGCAAAGTGGATGGACCCAATTACAAGGGGGTGACTGCATCATTCAAAGATGAAATAACAGGTTTGTTATTGTCATGGAGAAAAAATTGAAAAGAAAGAAAGAAGAGAGAGAGAGAGAGAGAAAGGAAGGGAGAGAGAGAAAGAAAGAGAAAAGAAAATTGTATAAAATGCAGTTCTAATTTTTGAATTTGCTAAATGAATCCTATTTAAATTTCAGATTATTTGAATGAAACAAGAGTAAAATATGGAATTCAAACTTATAAACATTCAATTTAATTATATAAATTAGCATTTTTGGTAATATCCTAGTTCATTTATTCTTGGTCCAACTCTTCTTTAAATAGTTTCCATAACAAACTTCTTTAATATTCCTCTACTATCAAAAATATGCTGTGCAAAATGTTTAGGACATGTTTTTCTTGCTAACGTTCTATCTTTATTAGTCTAATAATCTTCTAATTTCACTTTACATTCCTTTTCTTCTTTGCTCAACTTAATTCATCAGCATCGCCATGCCAATGAAAGCCAGTGAAAACTATGGCTAACAGCTTGCCCCTACTGTGAGTACAGAATATTTCAGGTTTTTAAACAACTGTGAAGTCCTTCCAAATATTATACATGTTATGGTTCTCCTCTTTTTAACAGTCATTGCAGCACAGCTTGTACTTTTTCATTTCATTTCCAACTGAGCTTATTGAAACTTCCTCTCCAATTAGAAATATGCATCTAAAGCTTAGGATCTTAATTCATACATCTAATAAATATTGCAGTTCAGAATAAAATGAATGTTGAAAGGAATGTGTTAATCTTTAAAGTGCTACAAGTGTGATTGAGGAAACAAAAAATTAACTGTTTCAAACAAATTCTTGATGAAAA